TTTTCAGGACAACCATAAATCTGTTAAAGAATATTTTCTGAACCTTTGTCAAGGTCAAGGTCCATCGGTTGTCAGTTCCCATAAGTAACATATAATCTAACATACCATGTATTTTTAAGGTCACCACTTTTTTTTTTTTGGGTACAATCCCGGAGTGATTTGAGAGTTGGGCGTAATAACTTTTTTAAACAAACACTTCAATCACCGATTTCTTGCGAACAAAAACTCAGCCTAGAAAACTAACAACACAATCATATAGAGAAATGATTCCTCTGCTATTTGGAATAGTTTGTTCGCGAGATTGAGCTTTTGTTCGCAAGAAATAAGTGATTGACGTGTTTGTTTACAAAAGCAGTACGCCCAAATCTCGAAGTTCTCCGGAATTGCAAAAACCAAATTCGGTCGTGGCATAAAAATGATCTGATTTTGATCCAGAGATGATGGATTTTAATTCTTAATACGCTAATCGATATCTATTGAATAAAACAAAAATTCCGTGCAATTTGAGCCCGAAAATGTATAATTTTGTCATCAGAGAACGAGCCGTTTCCGTGATGAGAAAAGTGGTTTCCCTAGCACAGTCGCCGAATATTGCTACCGGGCGTGCCAAATCTACGGTCGTGTCTTGGTATTACTTTTCTTTTAAATGTCTGTTATTTCACTAAAGTCTATGGAGCTGCTCTGAGGATCTCTGTTCTTTCCTGAAATTTTAAGAACCTCTCCTGGTCCGAAAATATCGAAATCCTTCTCGCTGATGAATCCTTCTGACGGTGCTTTGGTTGGCATTGCATTTCTTGGCGATTTCATAATCCGACAGCCCTGACGATCGAAGTAGGCCGCGCAGCGAAAATGACGTGTTTTTGTTCTGCTGCGTCGCTTTCGATCTAGTTTAAATGTTATAAATTTACAGTTTCATTTTTAAAAAGTGTTAATTTGAAAGTACAGAAGTGATGTAGAAAAGTGCATTAAGTGAAAATTTTCAAATTCCTATCCGTTGCATGTGGTGCCGACTGTTCTAATCTACGCGTAGCTACGCTCAGCTTAGTTTATTTACCTTTTCGTGCCACTGCCCTCGATAGGAAATATCCATCTAACGATCATTTTAGAACTTACTAAATACGCGTCAATCAAGTATTGCACTACTACTTGATTGAAAGTTTCAGTACATTATCAATGGTGTATATTTGCATCGATAATGTATTGGAGCGGGGCTTATCATTTGTGAAAATAGCTTCGGAATGCTTGCGTTCTTGAAATGGGCTATTGTAGCTGTGGTAGAGCTGTCACCTTCTAACTCCCGGGTTCAAGCTTCTTTGTATTCATAAGAAATGATTGCAGGCAGATTTTATCCATAATACCAATACCAGACAGTGGGAGTTAGGCCAAGGGCGAATCTTCATTCTAATCTACGATTCCACATACTATTAATAACCTTTTACACATCAGAATAAATTGTGCATATGTTTAGGATCCTAACAAACATTTTAAGGCGCAAAGGTGCAACAGAATCGAGCTTATAACGTTTCTTAATTCCAAAATCTGAAGACTGTTTTGAATAATATGTTTTGGTAATGGGCAGCAACAACGGACAGATAAACTACTTACAGCTTCTATTTATTAAATGCTTGATATGACGATTGCCTGTAACCCCGGCTGGGCGTATCCTATGGCTTACCCTCCCTACTAACAAAAATCCACCCTTCCCGTGACACTTATGAGGGGTCGTAGAGTTCTCTGCATCCCTCTTAAGTAAGTGTCGGACGAACATACCTCCCCTTTCCCCACCAGATGCAAGGACGTGGCCAGGACAGCTCTGGTCTGTTGGAGGAAGACACATCCTTTATCTAAGAGGTAGTAATTAATCACAGTCCAGTTTGAAGCTCGTACCACCTACGACATTGTGCAACCTGGTTTATGCTATATCATAATCAGACAGCTCAGGGTTTGCCCTAACCGTTCACAACATCTTCAAATGCTGCTTCTGATCCTTAGTTCCACTACGACGCTTGCTATGATCCTGCCAATCGATAGTATGCCACTCACGGAAACGTTTGAGAACACTGCACACGGTCGATTTAGCCAATTTCAACGACTTCGCGAGTTTTCCATCAAGTATGACTTCTTTTAAACAAAATGAATCGTGAAAGAGGAAACATTTCAAAACAAACTGATGTCAAAACATTCCAGATCAAACCGCTAGGAGCACTGCAACCAGTGCGTCCAGATACTAAATGACTCAAGCTTTAAATCTTAACAATTAAGGCTGGTAAGTAATTGTAATAGCTGGAACACCGCACGCAATGTCTGAAGGCACTTTTTTTGCAACATTCATGTACCTTAGTTTTTTTCTTCACAGGATGTTAGTATTGATCCTTACAATCAAATCGGTGATGGATTTAAAATATTTCATCTTGGGCTTTTGAGAAAAGTGTTGTGATGTTTACAAATGCGTATATATGGACTATTGACGATACAAAACCATTACGAATTGAACAAATGCAGTTAAATAAGGTTCAAAAGTTGATTGAATTGATCCAAATGGCATTAAAGAGTTCTCTTCAACTCTCACCTAAGATCCGCATTGATTATGTCGACTTTGAGCAAAATTCACTGCAGCACAGTCCAAGAAATCCACGTAGCAATAGTAGGCATTCATTTTCGTCCTGTTTCGTGTGTTATTTTTTATAGATGTATCGTGTAGGAAATCTAGGAAAAAATCTCACGAAGAAAATTGAGAGTTCGTTTGTTGCGCTTCGAAGAAAAAAACCTAAAATATTTTCTGAAAATCGTTTAACCGGTAATGCTGATAATACAGGAATGAAATTATGAGGTTAGTTACTCTTGCGCAGTGAGTTTAGGTAGCCCTCATTTTGAATTAATACAGAATTGCTAGAGCTTCATTGCAGTTCCCATATTTTGTCTATGGAAACTTTCAGGAAGGTTCTGCAACTTTTTAGGAAATTCTGCGAAGTGTAGGAGAACTATAGTGAATTTTGAGAAAATTCTGCAAACTTTAGAGACGTTCTTCCAAAGAATCAGAGCATCTTTCAGAGAAGTTCTACAAACTTCAGGAAAATTCTTCAAACTTTAAAGATGTGCTTCGATCTTCAGGGATGTTTTGTGAGCTTCAGGGGAGTTCAATGCCCTCCTGGTAAGTTATACGAACTTTAAGAGAGCTCTGTGCATTATAACTATATGAATTTCAATGATGCTCTGCAAAAAGTTCTTGAAACGCCAGGAAATTTTTGAAAACTTTAGGATGGTCTGTGAACCACAGGGAAAATTTAATAACATTAGGAAAGTGCTGTGAACTTTAAGAAATATCTGAGAATTTTGAGAACAAAAAAAGATGCCAAACTGAGAGACGTTCTGCGAACTTCAAATAAGTTCTAAGAATATCAGTTGGTGGAACAATTTCCACTTCATGTGTTAGAAAAACAGGTATGATAGAGATAATTTGTCGCCACGGGAAAAAAGAGAGGATCCACCCGGGTTGAACTCACGACGTCGTACTGTATCAGTGCCTGAACAGCCACGACGGAATCCATCGTCAACGCCCAATCAAAGACCTAGTGAACCAGATCCTGCAGGTGAAGATCTTCTAGACCCACCACGCCCGATACGAGAATCATCATATCCGGTACCACCACGTCCGGTACGAGACCCACCGAGTTCATACCTACCGAATCTGGGTGATGCAGGACCAATACCCCAGCAATTAGCAGCCCGTCAGATACTTCCACGAGATTTGCCTATCTTTGCAGGCAATCCAGCCGATTGGCCTGTCTTCATAAGTAATTATAATTACACCACGGAGGCATGCGGTTACAGCGTAGGAGAAAATATGATCCGTCTTCAACGCTGTCTAAAAGGTGCAGCATGGGAATCCGTGAGGAGTCGGTTGATTCTTCCTGCATCTGTGCCTAACGTGATTGAAACACTTCGATTGCGGTATGGGCGATCCGATTTGTTGATAGAATCGCTTGTCGAAAAAGTTAAAGCTACTCCCAGCCCAAGGGTTGACAAGCTCGACTCAATTATCGAATATGGAATGGTTGTCCAGGCCCTATGTGACCGTATTGTGGCGGCAGAACTGTTGGACCATCTCTCCAACCCAACGTTGTTAAAGGATCTCGTCTACAAATTACCAGCAGAGTACAGAATGAAGTGGGCAGGCTTCAGGAAACAGCATGGTGTGGACAACTTGCAAACCTTCGGAATATTTATGGAGGACATTGTTGCGGATGCGTGTAGCGTATTATCGTACAGTGGTGGCAATGACAAAACACAACGGCGCGAGAAACCAAAACAATCAGATCGTAGCTTCGTTCATGCTGATACGGAATCAAGAACTTCGAATCCAAATGAACAGGGACAAGATCGAAACGTAGCTGATGCTTTTACGAGTATCGAGTGTACTGTATGCAGGAAGGTGGGACATCGAGCCAGGGAGTGTAAGGAGTTCCAGGCGCTATCGATTGACGAGCGCTGGAAAAGGGTTCACAACCAAAGTTTATGCAGAACCTGCTTATTTGGGCATGGACGGAGATCCTGTCGCAGCAATAAGAGATGTGGCATCAACGGTTGTCAGCTACGTCATCATCCGCTTCTTCATTCGAACGTGAGGCCTCAGACGGCGCAGAATGTGTCGACCTTGACTGAGCAACATCACGTTCATCAACAAGGCCTTCCATCGTTGTTGTTTCGGATTGTACCTGTTGTCCTGCACAGTGGATCTAAGTCCGTCAGCACCTTCGCATTTTTGGACGAGGGTTCTTCACTCACCATGTTAGAAAACAGCTTGGCAAAGGAGTTAGGGGTAACTGGCTACGGAAAACCCTTGTGCCTAAAATGGACAGGCAACGTAACAAGGGAAGAACGGAACTCGAGACGCGTCGCTTTCGAAATTTCCGGACAAGAAGAATAAAAGATATCATGTAGCTGACGTTGGCACAATTGAATCACTGGATCTACCTACACAGAGCTTTCCGGTGGAGGCGATGGAGCAGCACTTTCCCCACCTTCAAGGTCTTCCTTTAGAAGGTTATCGCAACGCTAAACCTCAGCTACTGATCGGCATCGATAACTTAAAACTGGCAGTACCATTGAAGACACGGGAAGGCGAAAACGGTGGTCCCACGGCCGTGAAAACCCGACTAGGATGGAGTGTTTATGGCGGTCGAAAAGAAGAAGATGTTCGAACATACAGCTACCACATCTGCGAATGCGGAGGTGACGATGCCTTGAGCAACACAGTTAAAGCATACTTTGCATTGGACGAGATCGGAGGTAAGCAAGCTGAGGAGAAAACGGAAGATGACAAACGAGCAAAGCACACCATGCAAGAAACCACTCAACGGAACGGAGAGCGATACGAGACGGGTTTGTGGTGGAAACATAACAACGTGGAATTTCCGGACAGCTACGGCATGGCGGTGAAAAGATTGGAGTGCTTGGAGAGAAGAATGGCGAAGGATGCTATCCTGCGGGAAAACATTATGCGCCAGCTCCAGGAATACCAGGCGAAAGGGTACGCGCATCGTGCTTCAGGTGAAGAATTGGCCAACTTTGATCCCCGTCGCACCTGGTTCTTGCCGCTTGGGGCAGTGGTGAACCCTAAGAAACCAGGAAAAGTTCGCTTGATATGGGACGCTTCAGCTAAAGTTGATGGCATCTCATTGAACACACTTCTCCTTAAGGGCCCCGACGAACTCGCCTCGCTGCTGAATGTTTTGTTCCGTTTCCGGCAATTTCCAGTGGCGGTAACAGCAAACATCAAGGAAATGTTTCACCAGTTGGGGATTAGAGAACTGGATAAGTGCGCCCAACTTTTTCTATGGCGCGATGATCCCAGCAAACAACCGGAGGTCTACGTTATGGACGTCGCAATATTTGGTGCGACATGCTCACCGGCAATGGCTCAGTACGTTAAAAACGTGAATGCGAGGAGGTTTATCCAGGACTTCCCGAGGGCCGAAGAAGGAATCATCCAGTGCCATTATGTGGACGACTATCTGGACAGCTTCCTGACTGTCGAAGAAGCAAAAAAGGTGGCGTCACAGGTGAAAGCCATCCACAAAAGTGGCGGATTCGAAATTCGGGGATGGGGATCGAACGTTCCAGATATTCCACTGCATCTTGGAGAACCCAAGGAGAAAGTGGTGAAGAATCTTGTGTTGAAGGGCGAAGAAACAGAGCGAGTTCTTGGCGTGCGGTGGCTTACGGAGAAAGACGAGCTTAAATACTCTACCGAGATGAGAGCGGATATCACTGGACTGATTGCAAGCGGCGCGGTACCAACCAAACGACAGGTGCTCAGATGCTTGATGACACTGTTTGATCCGCTTGGTTTGGCAGCACCGTATGTAGTACACGGTAAAATTCTCCTTCAAGACATATGGCGTTCAGGATCAGGTTGGGACGAGCAAATCATTGAATCGTCATTCGAGCGTAGGCAAGAATGGACCGCAATGCTCAAGAGTATTGATGAGGTACGCATCCCACGCAGCTACTTCCGGAATATCTCTTTCGTCGATGCAAGTCCTGCTGCTTACGCATGCGTTTCATATTTGCGCATCGTCAATTCCTATGGGGAAGCAGAAGTTGCTTTGGTTGCAGCAAAAACGAAGGTTGCACCCTTAAAGCCAATGACCATCCCTAGACTCGAGCTACAAGCCTGCGTGTAAGGCGCCCGCCTTATGAAATTCGTCGTAGAAGGTCATACAGTCAAGGTTTCCCAGCGGTTCCTGTGGACTGATTCGACAGTGGCGTTAAGTTGGATCAAAGCGGATGCCTGGAAATTTCGCCCGTTCGTGGCACATCGTGTGAGTGAAATCCAGGAATGCACACAACAAATGGAATGGCAATGGGTGCCATCAGAGAAGAATCCCGCTGACGAAGCATCGAAATGGGGAGTTGGTCCTTTCTTCAACTCCGGTAGTATCTGGTTTAGTGGACCAGCATTCCTTCGTAAACCCGAGGATGAATGGATCGACTGGGAGATACCGCATCATCTGGTGCAACCTGACAAAGAGGAGCTTCGATCGTGCTGCTTGCATCATGAGGTGTTCATCCCAGAACTGATCATCGATGTCAGTCGGTTTGCATGCTGGAATCGCTTGCATCGCTCCATGGCGTACGTTCATCGATTCATCAGCAATTCAAAACGGAACGCCAATCGCCAAACTGGTGATATTACACAGAGCGAGCTTAAAAAGGCTGAAGGAACATTGATGCGTTTGGTACAGTGGGAGTGTTTCCCGGAAGAGATGGCAACGTTAGCAAGGAATCAACATGTAGTTGATACCAAACGGCATGCGCTGGACAAGACCAGCAAAATCTACCAACTGACACCAGCCTTGGACGAGGTCGGCGTTCTACGAATGGATGGTAGAATCGGGGCAGCTACGTGCGTTTCAAGGGACCTTAAGTTCCCCATAATATTGCCAAAATCGCATCGCCTAACCCATCTGATCATCGATCAACAGCACCGCAATCTGTAGCATGCGAATAACGAGACAGTAGTTAATGAAGTTCGCCAACGCTTCCATGTTCCGAACCTACGAGCACAGGTGAGAAAGGTAGCCAGAGAGTGTTAATATTGCAGGATGAAGAAAGCAACCCCTCAAATTCCGCAAATGGCAGCCTTGCCATCAGCCAGATTATCTCCGTACATACGCCCTTTCAGTTATGTAGGGCTGGACTATTTTGGACCTCTCCTCGTCAAGATCGGTAGGAGCAATGCCAAACGTTGGGTAGCACTATTCACGTGCTTGACGATTCGTGCTGTCCACGTGGAGGTGGTCTACAGCTTGACCACTGAGGCATGTATCAGAAGTGTTCGCCGTTTTGTTTGCCGACGTGGTGCACCTTTAGAAATTCATAGCGATAATGCCACAAATTTTCAGGGTGCTGAAAGAGTTTTGCGGGAACAAATCAACGCTGGACTGACCAGAACCTTCACGAGTACCACAACTACGTGGCGTTTCATCCCTCCTGGTGCTCCACACATGGGAGTAGCATGGGAGCGGATGGTACGGTCGATCAAAACTGCCATCACCTCAGCGTAAAGGGTGATACGGTCAAAATTTGGTCAATATCAACTTGACGTATTTCTTTCAATTTTGCATTTAAAAACCTGAACACCCCTCATTTTGAAGGTGTGTTTGTGTGTAGAATGTTGCTCCTATTTTGATTTTAGAATTCACTCTTCAGTTGTCAAAATGCCGTCCAAGCAAGAAGAGCAGCGTATCAAAATTTTGCTCGCGCATTTCGAAAATCCGAGCTACTCGCACGCAAAGTTGGCAAAATCGCTAAAAGTTGCCAAATCAACCGTTACAAATGTAATTAAAGTGTTTGGGGAACGTTTGTCGACAGCCAGGAAGTAAGGACCGGGGGGAAATCGAAAACCGGAAACCGCTGAGACGACAAAGAGAGTTGCCGGTAGTTTCAAGTGAAACCCTAACCTCTCTCTCCGAGATGCCGCAAATAAGCTGGGTGTATCGTCTACAACCGTGCATCGAGCCAAAAAACGAGCCGGACTATCGACTTACAAGAAGGTAGTGACTCCAAATCGCGATGATAAACAAAATACGACGGCCAAAGCGCGATCCCGGAGGCTGTATACGACGATGCTGACGAAGTTTGACTGCGTGGTAATGGACGACGAAACCTACGTCAAAGCCGACTACAAGCAGCTTCCGGGACAGGAGTTTTATACGGCAAAAGGAAGGGGAAAGGTAGCAGATGTTTTCAAGCACATGAAACTGTCAAAGTTCGCAAAGAAATATCTGGTTTGGCAAGCCATCTGTACCTGTGGCTTGAAAAGCAGCATTTTCATAGCTTCCGGGACTGTCAACCAAGAAATTTACGTGAAAGAGTGTTTGAATAAACGTCTGCTGCCTTTCCTGAAGAAACACGGTTGTTCCGTACTGTTTTGGCCGGATTTGGCATCTTGCCATTACAGTAAAAAGGCCATGGAGTGGTACGCCGCCAACAACGTGCAGGTGGTTCCCAAGGACAAGAACCCTCCCAACACGCCAGAGCTCCGCCCAATGAGAAATACTGGGCTATTGTCAAGTGGAACCTAAAGAAGACCAAAAAACTGCTAAGGGCGAGCATCAGTTCAAGGCAAACTGGCTTTCTGCGGCGAAGAAGGTGGACAAGGTGGCTGTACAAAATCTGATGGCAGGGGTCAAGCGTAAGGCCCGGCAATTCGGATTTGGAAAAGCGGAAGCCTAACTGAATATTTTTCCTGAATTTTATACTAATTGAACTTGAAAAAGAAATTTAATTTGATTTTTTAAATAAACGATTTCACCGATTTACACGCGTTTTCCCTTGACCAAATTTTGACCGTATCACCCTTTATATGGGGGTACACTTTGTGAAAACCGAAAATGGATTATGTAACAAATTAAGAAAGATTTTGAACGTTAATAACTCAGCTGCCCCTGGTCCAATTTTAACAATGGTATCACTAATCGATCCAAAATATGGCTACGCATCGATAACAATGCATCCGAATGTTGATTTTCAACAAGAAACTATTGAAAAACTGGTAAATGTCCAGCATTGTCCAAAAGCGTTGAATTAACTAACAAATCCACCAATTAGCTACATGCATATGCTGCTTCCCCAGCACAGTCGTCAGAGAGTAGTAAGTACACGAAACAAGTCGAAGTGGCATTCGCCGCCGATCTTCGGGCGCGTGCGAATAGGGAGGATGAAATTGCGTAATATTTTGCACACTCATCGCCATATTCAGAACCAAACGCAAATTCTTCGAGATAACCACCATCCGTCGTTTGGCTCGCCGTATCTCCGGTCTGATTTACGAGGTGTGCTGAAGGTGTTCCTGAAAAATGAGATCCGTGATGCTGTCACCTATACTAAACACGCCAAGCCTAAGCGGCCATGGATGTCATCTACGTTTTGAAGTGACAGAGACGCACTCTGTTTGGTTTCGGATGTTAAATCATCACCAACTTTGGCAACAAAACGGCTCTTTTCAGGGCCATCAAGCTTACATCAGTAAAGAGTTGGAATAGAATTTATCTGTGCTTGTTTGTCCATATTCAGAACCACAAGCCCCCAACGACCACACAAAATGCTCTCCAGAGTTGTAATCTTGTAACCAAACTTGGAACCAGGAGTGCAAGTGATTTTGCTTGATTCTCTTAGTCAAATTTCTCTTTGAAAAAGATTAGTACAATTTTGGCACGCCTACAATTCAAAAACGGAAAGAGTTGAGATAATAGATAATTGATCAATTAAAAGAACTAAATGCTCTTCACATTTATGCTGTCCACTACCGGTCCTACGTCAAGCTTCCGTTCGTGTCCCTAGGCACAGACCCTTCTACTTTTTCGTTGCAGAAAACAACGAATGAATTCGTGGCGCAAACGAACGCATTCGTTGTATAAACTTAATTTTATTTTCAATGCATGCATATTATTTGCTCTGTTTATAATGTCATTATGAAGGTCGCATTTTTCTATTTGCTAATTACCAAGACTGACTACAATATTGGGTGTATTCCGTTTTCTACCGATACAGATATTTTCTATTAATTGACACCTATATGAGGGCTCAACAATAAGAAACAACCTTGTAAGAAGACACTTTTGATTTATAACGTTTGAATTTCAGGCTCTAAATGCGTTTTCCTGCTAAATTCCCATTTTGGGCCACTGTGGAATTTGGGACGAATAATCTGGTAATTATCAACAAAAAATCCTGATTTTCATCATGTGTTGAACCATTCAACCGAGTTCATGAACTTCATTTACCTTCGAACGAGAATAATTTTAGAACCTTACCGAATCATCATTTCTCCTAGCGCTTAATCAGTCAAAGTTTCAGCTGTCGAGTTTTTAAAATGGTATTAATTTCTTAAGAGGTATTCAAACCTCATTTAACAAAATTCATTCCAATCCCCCCTGATTCTAATCCCGCTTCGAGATAGCCCAGCACCATCCGGTGCACAACCTCTTCAAACGCGATCCCAATGAGTTCACCTTCTTTGTAAACAAAGCAGACCGCTCCTCGTCGACGTGACGACACTGACTGGGCCATCAAATAATGGTGCCCTCTTGTCCTCCTTAATGAGCCCGTTAATAATCGTCAGTTCGTTTTCGTCTTCACCCAACATCAACCGAACGAAAAAAAAAAAAAAAACTCAAACCTACACATTGTTTTTATTGGCATTCATAAATCTAGCAACGACTTCCTCGCACCCCGTCAAACTTCCCAAATCCGAAGCCGCAACTAGCCATTAAAAACGATTTTCCGCTGGTGGGTTGGGAGACTTAATTCCCCTTGGGGCCCTCTGCCAGCCGACAACTACTATTTCCAAAGTTTCCTCATCCGTCAAAGTGATGGTCTCTGCTGAGAATCAAAGCGACGACGACGGGCGATGAGAGGGGGGCGAACGAATTAAAGTTTGTTTTCGGTTCGTTAGCCAGCTTACCTTTCCCGTGAATCAAGGTGATTTTCCGCGAAGAAAATTTCATTTTCCCGGATTACTTACTTGTGATTAGGGAGCAAATTTGGAATGGATCGTCGTTACCTGGAAGAACAGAAATAGAATGAAATCCGTTAGTATTTTAAGACTCACAGAGTAATAAACAACCATCATCCGGTCCGGACGATGGTGTGACACCATAGTTTGCAAACAGAACTTAAAACCGGACCATTTTATGGATCCTAAAATCCCGAGAAGAAGATGCTCCATTCTCCCCAGACAGCAGCGGTTGAGAAATCCAGAAATGGCAAACATTCGCGCCACTTGGCGGCCTTTCCTTAACCATTCTCAATCCTAACAAAAAAAAAATAATAATGAAAAGCAGCAACATGAACTTAAAGCAAAATCGAGACCACATGTGTAAAGTAGCGCCCGTATATCGTTTTATTTCCAAACATAAACTACCCCCAACTGAGACCATCGAGACACTCACACACCCGAGCTTGGCTGAAAAGTTTTTTTTTTGTTTTCGACTATGTGGATAAGTACACCACTAAATGAAGTGAGCGCGGTGGAAGACGGCGAGGAGGAACGGACGTGTCAGGAGGCACACTTTTATGCGCTTCTCTCAGACCACTGAATGAAGATCCTTGCCGGTGCTGGTCGGAGGAATGGAAAGTAAGCGGGACCAGACATCTGCGTGTGGAACACACGGAGGTCCCAAACTGGGATGAGCTTGAAATTTTGTATAGCATTTTTTTACTTAATTCTCAAGTCTGTGTTGGGCAAGGGCAACAGATCAGAACTCGAACCGAGTTGAATTTTGGGGCCCGAATAAAAAATTCCCTTCAAGTAAATTTAAAATGCATGCATCGGGAACGTTTTTGCCCTCCATCCAAACACGTCCCATATCTTTCAGTGGGAAAGTAGGTTCCCTGCGCTCACAGTGCCAAAGTGACGAGAGCAAAAAAAAGCGACCGTATGACCACATGTGTGTATGATGATGTTAGCCGTCACCATGCCAGGCAGAACGTAAAC